AGGGGGGGATTTGACCTTGGGGGACACCGTTGGGCTTTGGGGGGTTCATGGGGGTAGGGTTTAAAATGGGGGGGGGGCCCCCATTTTTGCCAGGGGGCCCTCGCTGGTTGGCCCTTTTCAAAGGTTTTTGGGGGGGGGGGTCCCCACCCGGGGATTGACGCCCTTTTTTTTAAAAAGGGTTTTTCTTATTTCTTTCGGGCCCCCCCCCCCCCCCCCGCCGCCGCCCCCTGCTAACACGATCAGGCCTTCATGGTGTGGAACTTCGGAGATGTGCTGGGGTGCGTGGTGATGCTGGTGTTGATAAAGCTCCTGATCGTGGCGATGGTCATGAAGTCCTTCGGCTTCTCGTGGGAGGCCTCTACGCTAGCGGGCGCGTGCATGGCTCAGGTACGACGGTGCCAGCAAGGGAGGTGCATGCCTTCTGAGGATTCGGTGTTTGGTGAAGTAGTGACGGCAGGAGGGACGCAGTGCGTCGCTTTCTTTTTTTTTTTTCGGCCTGTGCACCTAGCCTGCCGTACATCGTGCCACACCTATTATAGTACTTCGAAGTAGTTGTATTGCAGGGCGGCAGAGATGGATGGCGGCCGATGCAACCTATGTGCGTCAAGTGGTTCGGAGCCTATGCTCTGCCTGCGCTCGAGCAACCGTTGGCTGACGTCTCGCCACGGAGACGTTGACGAAGAGAAGAGCCGTCTCGACGCCTTGCAAGAGCTGTAGACTTTGCGGACGCAGGGCGGGCGTGTCTCTAACCAAGCTTGGTGTACGCACGCGTGGCCGCTCTTGTCCTCACCACCTTTTTGGAATCAGACATACATCGAATCAAACGAGAGACTGTGAGCCCGTACGTACATCCAATCAAACGAGAGGCTGTGAACCCGTGGGGCTGGGTTGAAGTCCTAACACAACGAGACAACCTTTTTTGTTCCATCCATGCGCGACTGCAGGTCTCCGAGATCTCGCTCTTCTTCGTGGCGAGGGCCCAGCACCTCAAGCTCATCCGCCGGCATCACTACCTCATGACCGTGGCGACGACGATCATCCTCATGGTGGCGTCCCCGCTCGTCATCAAGGGCCTCCAGGCCGTCCACGGAGGCGCTGCCTGCGGGGAGGGCGGTGCCACCTGCAGCAGCCCCCGCAACGGGACCGGCAGCGGCGGCGGCGGCGGCGGCGGCGGCGGCGGTGGCGGCGGCGGCGGCGGTCGTGGGGTTGGGCAAAGCGGCGGTGCGGGAGACTCGATCCTACCGTTCATCGGCGGACGCGGGAGGGGTCGGAGCGGTGGGGATGGGGAGACGCCGACGTGGAAGGAGAGGTGCAAGGGAAGCTGAGAGTGTTCCGTCGAAAGGGAGGCCGTGCGCTGGATGGAGTTTTTGTGTTCGCTTGGTTTTGCTTGTCAATACGGAGCTGGTGCGGTCGCGAGGCTGAGAGGAGGCAGGCGCGGGACCTATGTAGTGATATGCCAGAGGGGCGGTGGGAACATGTCTCTGTTTGTTGGCGTGTGCGCTTCGGAGAAATTGGCTTCCCTTTATGGTCTCTGAGATCGCGAGTTGGTGTTTTGTGTCGCTTGTTGTGCCGACGAGCTGTGCCGACGAGCATCGCCTCTGGTTTTCAGGAGCGACGGTAAGACAGGGTAAGTCTACCAGCCGTGTTGTTGTTGTACTCTTGACCTTTTTCGGCAAGGTTCGGCGAGGTGTGGCTATAGGCGAGGGGATACTCGGTGTCATCGCGGCAGTCGATCGGTTCACAGGCGCGGGCTTTGTGTCCACGCGTGCGGTGGAATGTCGTTACCTCTGCCGCTCCGAGAGTTTTTTTCCCCCATAGAACAATGTAACCTGCCGGTAGAGTTTTTTTTTCTCTCCCATTGCTCCTTCGCGGTTGGCTTTTGGCTGGCTTCCTGAACCCATCCCCAACGGCGTTGCTTCATAAGACGCAGATCCAGGGCCCTTTTACGACGTAGATCCGAGCTTGTTTGTGTACGTGCCAGATGGACAAATGCCCACCGCTGCGGTAGAAGCCGTGGCAGTGGGGAGTATCTAGAAGTGTCCAGATCTGGTGATCATTGTGTCCTGTTAGTGTCCTGAGCGAAAGAGTTGCTGTCTCAGCCTGTGCTTTCGATTGTGCCCAGCTTGCTCGGTGAGCAAGCCGAGACAGAAGCGGTCCTTCGACTGTTTTACTGCTGCAGGTGGGGAGCTGTCGTTGATTATTTGTACAGCAGTTGAACCACACACTTATTTTTTTTTATCGTTCCTCGTATTAGGTAGCTGTCAGAATAGATAGTTGCGCCGTTGTGGGATCTCTCCGCCTTATCAAGGCGCGAGATCTCGATGGAACGTTGTTGAGATACTCGTAAAAGGCCCGCCTTGTCCAGTAAGAAGAGGCTGGGGTGCCTCTTCACATCCTCTCTGCGTGTGTCTAGTGTTCCCTGATGATGATGTCGCGGGGACAAATAAACCTTCACGAGAGAAAAGTCGGTCGTCGATGGCACTGGGCGGGGCTTGCGCTTGTTCCGGCACTTTCTGTTTCGGTGATGTCATTATCGTTTCTTCTATTTCATTGGGATCATTATGTTTTTTTTTGTGTACTGCATTCGCCGTTAGCTTGTAAAACTAGATAGACAGATCCTGCGAGCGTTAATAGTGAAGTGAAGGACGCCCTTATTTGTTCTCCACATACATGAGGAATTCTTTTTGAAAGCGGTCTAAAACGCAGGGGAACGGAAAAGACAGATGACGAATTGTGACCTGGGGCGCCAAATCGATGGCACGGGAGATGAGGCGACAAGGGGGGACAGAACAGAAACAAAGAGTTGGGGCACACGCTAGCGCTTCTCTTACACACCACAAACTCGGATCAATCGTGCTTGCTCGCTTTCGCGGTGGTACGTCGCCTACAGTGGCCGGCTTGAACGACAAGGAGGCTACGTATTTGCACCGATGGTTTGTTTTTCGGGCATGACGGCCAGCTCGAAGCTCGCTCGCGGCCACTCCAATTGTGTCTCCCTCTCTCGCCCCCCATATCTTTTGGCTTCTTTCCACTCAACTCGTGCTATCCGGGTTTGAACTCTGCGCACAGAAGCAACGATGCCGTCGTCATCGTGGTCGGTGACTCGAGGTGGTGGTCTCCACCGAGAACTCTCCTCCTCTTAACACTCGAAGGACCGCGTCGGGCCCTCTTGAGAGCAAATATGAAGAGCGTTTCGTCAGTTTAGGGAAAGGTGTTGTGAAATGACCGCCGCACAGCACACAGACAGGCCGCCGCAGAACAGTACACATAAACAAACGGGCATTAACCGTTTGCTTGTATGAACAGGTAGTCGCAGCGCCACAAACAACCTTCATTCAATCTCACACATTCCAGGCCGTTTCCAAATCTCCTGTGGCTCGGTAGTGCTCGCCCTTTTCGCGTTTATTCGACCAAGAAACTGCGTGAAGTATGCACAATACACCTGTCGTGTCTTCACTTGCATGTACGAGGAGTCCCTCCCCGCTTCCGTTCTCAAGTATGAAGCAACAAAAAGAAAGTGAGCTTAGAACGTCACTTGCTACATGTATGTATTAACAACAGCTTATGCATAGAAAGGCAGACAAACATGAACACAGCACCACATTCAATAATGCGTACTGACACACGCATAATTATAATTTCTGAAGCCCCTCTTCTGAGAACTGTGGCAAAAAAAAAGAATCGGATTTCTGGCCCGGTTTTCCCAAAATGACTTGGGTTTAGAGCTAAATAGGCGCGATCGCCGGTTTCTCCTTCAAACCACCCTAGTTTTTTTTCTTTGGTCGACGTCGTCGAGACTACAAAACTCTGTTCGTTTTTTCGAGTGAGCCGGATTCAAGTGTGCAAGTAGCTGCTGCCAAAATCCACCCTTCCTGCAGCTTGATACAAAACAGCGTGATACAATGGCTACTGGCAGTTGTTGAGAAAACCGTGTCTCTTGGCCTATTCTAACCAAATGATTTCGTCCTTCGATTTCGCAACCGCCCCCCAATGCCAAGCAGCTACAAGGTTGACAGAGAAAGCTGCCCAATACCGAAAAACGTCCACGCATGCATGAGAAATTGACAGAAGAAACATCCGAGTCCCCACGCTACAAGAGGGTACCTGCGCAACGATGACCGTGCGGGGCAGAACAACAAGCACTATAAATATGTCTCGGTGTAGACCACCTTTCGAGAATTATATCCAAATTCACGTCAATCTACTGCTACATATATACATGAAATCGCCGCTGTCTTGGCGCTGTTACGAAGCGCAGCATAATCCTATTAATACAACACGTGGTTCACTCTGTCTACGATGTTGAAGACGCAGTGCTGTCGGGCTGATATCCGTCGAAATCCTGATGGGTCTGAGAGTATTTTCCCATAAGGTATGCTCCCGCCTTCACTGGCGGGTACCTCGCTGGGTTCTCTTCGGAGCAAAACTGCGGGAAACACGCCACCTGACAAGGTATGTACACACAGTAGCAGGGGCACCGAAGCACGGATTTTGTCTATTCCAAGCACAAGCTCGGAAAATACGGTGATACTAAACAAGGGGCGAATTCGCTGCACATACATACATTGGGACACCGCATAATAAGCCTCCAGCAGCATCCAAGGGGACGCCTACACACACGCAGTTCTCACGGTTGTTTTCATCATAACGGGTACGTACACACCAAGCTGCAGTCAGTAGTAGTTCATGCCAGCGTGGAGCCACTGCTTCATTTGTGAGATAACCTGTGACTATGGAAGTCCTGTGGGAGCACGAAAAAATCGGTACCGGGATGGCGGTCTAAGGCTCTGTCAGCTTTAAGAAACAACCCACGAGACGATAGGCTACAAGTCAATCGCAACAATTGGGAGACCCCGCGTAGACGTTGTGTTTCATCGTGAGACCAAGGATCGACCATACCACAACTACTGTAGCCCCTTCACCCCAGTACAATTGCCCCGAAACGGACATGCATGGTGGTGAGGTCAGCTACACCTGGGAAAATGATCACGTTTGCCTCTCTCTGTGCCCAGGACAACTACGTACCACGGCAGACCAGGAAATCCTGTTTTTCTTGCTCAAACCCTACCAAAAAGAGGAGTGAATGCTCACTCAGATATTGAACCATATTTCACGAAGGTGGCGCTGAACAGACGCACGTTGTTGAACAGACGCGAGCTACAACCTAGTGGGTAGGGTCTGCACATGGTAAACTATCACTCATCAAGTAACTGCTCGGGCCCTTCGTACGTTGAGTTTGGAGCACAAAATAAATTCTACATAGTATTGGCGGTTTGCATAGCCGCATGTACCGCTGCACGGCAACCAAGAGGGGCCAGACACGGAACTTGCATACCTCTGTGTCGAAGTTCGGCTCGAAGAAGAACGGGATGCTGTAGCGCTCGAGGCCCAGCTTGTTAACGACCCGGTGTACCGTCGATCGCAGGTCGTCGTTTGTCCTGGGAAATTGGCAGTCCGGCAAATAAAAACACAACACAGCTTCAGGTGCACACGTTTCAGCTTTCTTGCTACCGCCAACATGCATGGGACGACTAATCCTGGGTTTGGTGAAAGGGACAATGCGAAAGGAGCACATGTGGCGACGTGAGGATATTGTAGCACATGGATGCGTACCGTTGCTGTACGCCTGTTCCGCCAAACACGGACCTCATTGGGCTCAAAGATTGCGATCGTGTACCTCCGGAGGAATACCTTGGGTTACTTTTCGCCGGCAACTCATGACCTTCGCATCGTTATCACAACAAAAGTGAATATCCGAATGTTTGTAGTACTTACTTGTGAATTTCGAGAGAAATTGGGCGAGCGGAAGATCATGTATCGTGCTTTTAAGGGCTGCGTCGCATGGTCATCATCGTCGAAACGAGCGGGAAACAAGCCTTCGGTGCCCTTGCTCAATCACCACAACATGTCGTTGAGGGACGCCATGTTGCTGAGGACCATCGCCAAATATCCGTAAACTAGAGACCTTCGATCGTCCTAGAGGCCACGCTCAACCTCTGACAGCCGGTCTCCCGAAGCCGCGCGCTACTTTAAAAACCAGCGCGTGGACACCACTCACTGTAAAACGCTGGACGGATGTTTCGCCAGGTTTTCAACAACGACTTCGACAATCGATCACACACGCTTTACTGGGCCTCGTTACGCGTTCCCATCAAAACGATTGCTACTGGAGCGACGGCGGAGTGGGGGGACGACACCGTGTTGACGGAATAACGGAGCATGCCTCACCATCTCTGGAGCATGTCCCCGAGGTTGCAAATAAACGCCCCCTTTCGGGGAGGGATGTCCAACCACTTTCCGTTCAGCCTGACCTGTAGTCCCGGCACCTCATCCTGGACATAACCGACGAGCGATGCAGTATAAATCTTGCACGAAACAATGATAAACTTGTTGGACGAGTGCATTCTGTTGGGAGAAGCATTGCCGTTGCCACCACCATAACCAACACGAACACCACATATAGCAGCAGAATGCGACCACGAAAACCAGGATGACAGCACCATCATGCGTAGGGATTGAAGAAGGAATGAATGAATGCGGTTCGAATGACGCGGTTGGTCTCACAGTGTACCTTCAACCCGCCAAACACAGACCAGTATTCCGACTTTTTTCTGCGGTTTTGAAGAAAGGTATTCTTTGAACCCCTCCGCATCGTACGGGGAAACAAGGACTTGGGAACGTTTTCAAACCCAGGGGAGGGCGGCTCGCGGCTTGCCATCTCACCGTGGCGAGCAAGGTCATCAGGCCCCAATCCGTGTGCGCCCCTGCACCCATAACGCCTTTCCCTGGGTCCGAAACCTGCCACCGACAGCGAACAGAAGGTGGACTAGTCGATTCGTTGTGGAACGTGGGACAAGCAAGACGGCGAAACGTGAATACTTGCGAAAGCTCCGTCCGCTCCTGCACACTAGATCCCAACAAAAGCTTTACTCGTGCCCAGGACTTGCTTGATCCTCTCGCGCCCTCCCACACGCCCACCCCTAGGCACCTATCGGGTGTAGGAGAAGGCCAACTCTTCTGGGAGATGCCTCTGAAGCCAAACACCCGGCTGCAACATCGATTTTCCCCCATTTCTTGCTCTCCCCTGATGAATAGTGCACTCGGAGCTCGAAACACTTCTTGGAAACCCCTTCCATTTGGGAAAGTTTCAACCAAGAGCCTAGATACTGGCGTTCCTTCTGATCACCCGACGCGAGCAGGCACCCCAACCGAGGCGCACTTACTCCCATACGAGAAACCGCCGACCTTGTCTATGTGGTTCAATACCTCGGCTGAGTAGTGAAGCAAGCGTAGGGTGTGCGCGAATTCCGAGAAGCACGTGCCGAAGACGGCAGGATCTAGCCCAAGACCGACCGACAGGAGCCCGGCTAGCCTCTCTCCCACGGCGTGCATCCTGACGAAATGCTCTTGCATCGTCGTCTTCCACCTCCGGGTTGTACGTAGGGGTAGGGGGCCGGGAGGGGCCACTCACATACCCAGTCTTTTTGTTTTGATGCGAATTCCCCGGTGGTAAGCCGCTGGATTTTTTGTCGCCCACTGCGCCCACATGGGGTTACCCATACTGACCCGCACTCATCCTTCCTTGCGCACTCTCAGACGAAAAAGGCGCCTATTTCTGTCGTATGTTGGTGAGAATCTGACCCCCGAAAAAAAGGTGTGCCATGTATGTACAGAGTACAGAGACTTGAGAACCTGCGCGTACCTGAGGTGACTTTCCTCAAACCTTGACTGCGTCCACCTACTGTGATATAATGTAGTGAACCCGCCATACCACTCATCCTGGACATCGTTTCCGCACCATATCTAGATTTCCAGGGCATCGTCAATTGTAGCTTTTGTCGAACAAGTACTTTTCCAACGAAGAATGAATGCAAGGGGAAGGGAGCGTTCTAGTAGGTACGGGAAGACACCGTGGGAATTAGGTGTACAATACGAAGAGAGACACCTGCTGTGGTTCTGTTTTACCCACCCTGGGACCAGTTCCTCGGATGGCCACTGGTTGGGGCCTGAGAGTGGCCTGGCATCATCGTGTTCGCCATCGGCAGCAGCACCAGCACTCCCCTCTCGGAAGATGTAGTACCCTTCCTACGTGCCGCGAAAGAAGATCGTGGGTTGAGCTTTGGTTGATGACTACGGTAGCGCGGTAGGGTGGGCTTTGGCGAAGCGGGGGGGAAGGGATGGCGATTTCGTGCGGATGCTGAATCTGGCGGATAGTGGGCATGTTGAGCATAGGGCGAGACGTGCTTCGCACTAGTCGGGGCCAAAGATGCGCTCTCTGCGCTTCCGAAAGAGTAGCACGGCGGGAGAGGGGGGAAAGCAAGAAGAGTTATTCGAATTGTGGCCGCCGTGCTCACATCCGCGCCGGTTGGCGAGGGAGACTTCCCCTCCATATCCTCTATCGTCGAACGTGTGCTGGCAAGGACAAGCTATTAGCTGCTGCTTGCGAGAGGGACCGCCTTCGCGAGACTACTAAGTTTATGAGGAAAGAGAACAGGGAGGGGGGACGCAGACCGTATTCCCTGACCCCAACCGTAACCCTAACCCAAGTTCCCCGATTGTATGCTTTATCCAACACGTCTACAACATATGTACCAACAACCCTGCCAAGGCTACTGTGCGAGCCTGACCCCAACCGTAACCCTAACCCAAGTTCCCCGATTGTATGCTTTATCCAACACGTCTACAATATATGTACCAACAACCCTGCCAAGGCTACTGTGCGAGCCTGTGTTGCCAGGGGCGACGCCCCGCACGAGACCTGAAGCTAGCGCTCACCTTTGTATCTCCCTTGGTCTGATTCTCCAGGTCAAGCACCTGCTCGTGCATGGGCGTGTAGCCGCGGTTGTTCTTGTCTGCCCGGACAGACATCTTGTCGTCCATGCCGAGGGAAAAAAACAACTTGGATTGCCGGAACACTTCTCGCATTACTTCCTCGGAAACGCCGTGGTTTTCCACGTAGAAGAAGCCGAAGTCTCGACATGCCTGCTTGTCCACCCGAGGACAACGCAGAGGTTCAAGGCGAGGACGGGCAGGGAACTTCCGTTTTGAAACGCAGCAGGTGATGGACAGGGCTCGAGTGAGAGGGTTCGAGATCGAACACAACCACAAAAACAATTCAGCCGAGATTGAGAAAACGTACCTACACCGTTGAACCTTCAAGAGTGGGCGGATAGTTGAGCCTGTTGCGTATGGAATCCAACGCGTCCCTCTGAGTCCCGTGTCACGTCGAGAGTCCTCATCACTTCTCTTCCCAGGGGAAGCTAGTTTCAATAGCACGCCTAGATATGCAGGAAGTTGCCGGAAACCTAACTGAGAAAAAAATGAAAAATTCAACCGGGCCGCCGGGCCCAATGTCACGAAGTCGGACCGGGCGCACCGAGGCAGGTGCATGCAAATGCACACAGCACCATGATGGTGGCAATATGAGGGGTTGAACCGTATGCGCGTGGTACAGCAGCAGAACTGTCGGTGAACGACAAAAACGGTGTCGTTTTGTGTAGTATTTATCCATACATTCGGGCCTCCCAGTTGCTGCAGGCACTTGATTGAGGTGTGGGGTGGTGTCTCTGGGTCCTCCCTCTGTTCTCGAACGGAGGGTTCCATACTTGCCATCCACTTGACGCAGGTTCGACAGCCTGGTGTCTCTGGCACCCCCCCCCCCTTTATCACACGGCTCTACTGCTGTGTCATCCATCTTGTACATACAACATGGAGGGTGTCTTTGTATAATTCTGTGATATGAACACAGTTTTTTTTTCACACCAATAACACAACAAATCCGTCTCTTCCACAGATAAGAGTGTACAGTAGCAATGAATTCATAGCTACATTTGTACGGTTCCCAGAGCAGCAGCATATAGCGATATCTCCCCTGTGGGTAACCGGCTCGATAACACAGTTAGGTAATTATCTTGTATATCTGATTGCCTGTATGTTATGCTGGGGAGTTGTGAAGGAGTATGCTGGGAAGTTGTTGGGCGGCGGGTATTATTTGTGGTACCCATGGTTGAATGTCCTCAAGAGCACCCGTTGCTTTTGTGTGTGTAAACTTTCATAATTTCTTATGGTGTTGACGTGGCCCAGGTGGATATTGATTGGACATACATGAAGGGGCCCCAGCACGTGGAAGCCGCTCGGTCCTAGGGTAAAGAAAGAGGTACGGTCGCTTGATGCCTTGCCTCCACGACTGTGTAGAAATGGGGTGTTGCTTGAATTGACGAGAGAGAGAAAGGCCTGGTTGAGGTGGGGGTCCATCTCGCAACCAGGGGGCACGCAGATAGCTGAGTCTGATGTGGTATGGTCCCTCGGAGGGATGTGGGACGAGAGAGTCCAGAATAACGCCAACAGAAAAAAACTCAAGACCCAACCAAGTAGGAGCAATGGGAAGACATTGCGGTACTCAACCGCAGCGTGATAGAGCTGACTTCGCTGATCAAGGATCGCATGACTAGGTTGAATCATCAACAGGGCCGACAATGCCTTAGACCAGGGACAAAACCTACCCAAAAGTCCAAAGATTCCCAAAGAGATACGGCCGTCGAAAAGATGGACGCGACGTAAAGGAAAACGAAGCGAAACTTGAAAACGTCCATGGCCAAAATGGATGATACGCACGAAACACGGAAAATGGTTCCCACCTTGCCAGTCAAACCAAATCGCAGAAGGAACGTTAGAGTCTAAAACCTAAGAAAAACCGATGGCTCGGGGCACAGACGATCAAGGCCGGAAAACTGGACGCGACAAATCGCCCCATATCTCGCGCATGCTGGCGATATTGAACACACAAACACACACAACTTGAGCACACAAAACAGAGCAACACTGAAACTCGTCGTCTCGACGGTGATGAAAGTCTTCGCCAGAAGGTGACGATGGCGGAGAAGAAGTTAAATGAAGTGAGTGATGACAAGCGTCGACGAAGGCCTCAGGAGAAGGCGACGAAACCGCATAAGGAATCCCCAAGCGTGGAGTGCGTGCATGCATTTAGCACACCTCCGTTATGACGAAGCAAATAAAACAGACATTAGTTGCAATTTGGAAGATGACACTTGGGGGAAGGTCTTTATCCAAGTGTTCAAAGGCAAAAGACACTGATGAAAATTGGGGGAAGTCTTTTTCCAAGTGTTCAAAGGCAAAGGATACTGACGAAACTTGGGGAACTCTTTCTCCAAGTGTTCAGAGGCAAACAACACCGACGAACAAGTGGGGAAACGCCAAACGACACCTCCAGAACTACAGTACACCCGGTGCAAACTAAATGACCCACCCATGCTTCGATTTCTCTCAACTCCGATGATGTGAAATACTGAAGACGGCCACAAGCCCTGACAAGCGTCAAAGGAGCAACCAACATTAACACAAAACACAAAAAAGAATGGCACACATCCAGGTCGCGGCAGCCCACTGGTGAATGCAGGCAACCAGAAACAAACACAAAAGAATGAACACACATCCAGGTCGCGGCAATCCATTGAGAAATGCAGGCAACGAGGAAAAAGACATCAGTCACGGTCCATGAAGGTAACACCCCGTCAAAATCTACTCAGAGAGGGAGACACTCGTTCTATTCCAGTCGGCGACAACGGTTGACGAAGAAGCGACAAAGTCGGACACTGGAAAATTGTTGATCTTGGCGTTTCTTTTCTTTTCTTTTCTTTTCTTTCCTTTTCGTGTCCTGTCGTCCAAAATACTAAGCAACCAAAACAGAAAAGCGCTTACACAAAGAGAAATCTGAAATATGAAGACACACACAATCCATGTGTAAAGCAGGAAACAAACCAAATCAGGCAAACGCGCTCGCTCACCACTAAACGAGGCTATGAAGAAATCGTGGGAAGCTAACGGTAATGAGTCAGCACGAAGTGGAGTCCAGACATTGATGTCGCCCATAGGGCGCGAACGACATTTCTCTTAAACACCACGATCCGCACGGTGCGTCCAAAGCGGTAGAGTATAACATCGTGGGCAAGGGGAGAATCCTGGGACCCGGGTCATTGAAAAGCCGAACGAAGCACGATCTGTCCTGATAAGCCCCACTTTGACCATTCCACCACAGGCCATCGCGTGCCGTGTACCACAATCCCGCGCCGACCGGCAGAGGAGAGGCACCAAAACGACGAAGCCAAGTCTCGTGAGACACAAGACTAAATCCTGGAGGCATGTATCGTTCTCCTCGAGACCTTGCAATCTCGCGGTGTGCCACGCGAGTACGAGTCACGCGATAATTGCAGTTATCCTGCTTGCATCTTGGACCAATACTAAAGAATGTGCCGGCGAAACCTATCCAGATCGGATTCTCGTTCCCAAGAGGGAGTGGTGAGGCCGATCCAGTGTGCCTGGTACAACACCGCGAGGATGCCGTTACGATGCCGAACCAAATGATGTCCCGAGATGTGAGTCCCACTTCAAGACGACCTACGGGCGCAGATACGTCATCCTCGGTGACACGGAACGGGGGGCAATTGTCCACAAAAGAATGAAAAAAAAACTGCCAAAGATCAGCAGGCAGAGACTGCGGCAAACGGTCCGTGTCATACGGACTACGACAGGGCTTGCATCGTAGGATGCGCGAGAATCCGGACCAGAAAGATCCGAAGGAGGATCTAGATACAGCAGTTTGCGCGCAGCCCGGCCATCTGGAGTATCTTCAACCGAGGCGGGACCCACTGCTCAAAAACTTTGTAGGGTCCATGTCCCAGAAATCGAAAACCTAGCCGTGAGCACCTGTTGATCCGTGTCCTTCGCCCCTTGCCGGATGGTTGCGGCCGTGTTGCACACCCAAGCCCAACCACCAGCGGAACACGTAGGGAGCTAGCTTATTGATGGTATCAAGAAGGGAGGAGTTGCGACGCTCGACACGCGAAACTTTCAGCGCGTTGTACTCCCGGACGAGATCGTACGCCCGACGTTGACGGTCCAGAGCCAAATCGCAACACCCCACTTGGTCGCGGTCTAAACTCTGATGACCGTCTACCGTAGGGTGATCGAACACCGAAAGCGGTAGTCGCGGAATTCGTCCCCATGTCTACCTCGTTTTGTGCTAACCCGGTGGGTTGATTCGCCCCGTTGGTTGCTAGCGAAGCTCGGCGAGATGGTCTTCAGCTGTACAAGGGTAAATGCTTCACTTGTTTGGGCGAGGATCATTCTTTCAAACTCTGCACGCTCGGTTTTGTGAACGCCACCGGCTTCCTCAATCCTGACATCAAGCTCCATTTGGAAACAGACCCGGGTGTTTGGAGCGACCGTCACAGCCACCGCACCGCCCTGGCGAGGGCGTTGTTGCCGTTTCGCGAGAACCTGTACACCGCGCCGATGAGCGAATTGCCGAAGCTGCACGTTCACAGTTGCCTAGTCGCGCAGCGGATATTGGTGCCCGTTTGAGATCCCAGCAGCCGAGCGAACAGCACCCATTTCCTCTCGTACAGCAAACCTGTCACTGCTTCTGTCCCTGAACAAGAGGCTATGTACGAGCCATCGCACCATCCTCAACTGTCACAAGATACGGCCAATAGTGCCTCCATATTTCCCGCTTCGCCCCACGCTCAAGCTTCACGTGCGCCTTCGCCGGCGTTTTCGCTTGCGCCGGACACGAGACCTTTGCGGCAGGAGCTTTCTGGAGGACCTTAGCAGTCATCATCGTCAGCCGCACTTTTGAGGACGAGCCCTTTGCGGCAGGAACTTTCGGGACGACGTTCGGTGTCAAGACCCCCGTTGTAGCAGACTCTTGTCCCTCAATGGGTGTCCGTTTTGGCAGGTGCAGGCTCTGTGGCAAGGGACTCCGATGCGCAATCCCAGCAGGATGTTTCGCCGAGGGTGTCGCTACCGGATGATGCTGCTCTGCCTTTGTCGTCCACAGGAGCGAGGGAGCGCCAGGAGGCTCTTGACGCCGTTGAAGCCGAAGCAGCCGACGCAGATCTCATTCGCATTCAAAACAAGATGGACAACATGAAGTCTGAACAGTAGGACAGTGTTAATTGCTTGTCGCTTGGTTTGAGTCCGGACGAGTTTTCCCGTTATGCTTCCAGCTGCCAAGGAGTTGTCGCCGAAATTCTTCGCGCATAATTGATGGCAAGCGCCAACAGAGTTTTGACGCACCGAAGTGGGCCAATGGATGGTCCCCTCTGCTGCGCAAACGGGTTCGAGCTGCTCTTGTCGACGCTCCAACCACGAATCGTGTCGCTTTGGAATTTCTCGATGCCACGTTCTTGCAGGTAGAAGGACATTTGCGCAAAAACCCGTCGGGACCCTCGACGTACACAACACAAAAGAACCCGTGTTGGACGGGGACACCAAAATATCCGACCAAAAGGCGCGCAATGCTGGAAGTCGCTCATGTACGATCCGTGTAGGTGTGCGTTTCTGCACACCCCTCGGTTTGTGTAGAAGATGTTTCTCCAACTCAGCTGCTTTCAAGGTGAAAAATGGCCCAAAGAAAAGAGTACAAGTTTTCACGAAAAACACAAGGGAAACGAAAGGAATGACGCACACCCAAACGGTGCACAGGAAGGGCTCGCAAACTTGTGCGGAACGGAGTCAAATCCGATAGCACCACAGGGGATCAGCAGACGCCGGGCGATACGCAGGCACAAACGAAATCTCGGCGGTGGAGGAGGGAAGAATACTGTCATCACGAGTACGACCACACAACGCCAGTACCTGCGGCTGCCGTGAACAAACGTTGTCTGTTGCTGCTATGAACTCATGGAGCGATGTGACGGGGAAGCAAATATGCTGTTCATCGAAGCACATTCCGCGAAACTAGCGCGGCAGGCTGACATCAGAGATGTGTTTAGTTAAACATGATCGGTACACGCGATAGTAGCAGAATGAAGTCACTAGCAGCGCGAGGTTCTTTTCCGCTTGGGCGTTCACAAACTCTCTCCGCGCCATGTAGGGGTTCTTGTTTTTGTTTTTTGGGGACGTAGCCATAATTTTTCCCCGTTTCCCGCCTTTCTTTTTTTTATTCGCAGATCGGACTTGGTATACATGTAGGGACAGATTGTTCAGCATTCGGGAAAATACAAAGACACAGGGCACCCTCTGTACACTTGTTGAGACATTTCCTACAAACTTCGGAGGGTACAACGAGCTTGCTGGTTGATTGGAACGCATACCGTATAGGAACGACCCCCCGGTTGTCCACCCTAAGGTTCTTCTTCTTTCCTCTACCTTCATGTGACTGCTGCAATACGACGCATACATGACCCGGTCAAGGAGATTTCTGCCACACGGCCTTTCGCCCCACGAAATGGCGCTTTTTCCCGGTTTAGCGACCGCTATTTAGTCGCTATTGAGGCTCGCGGTTTAGCGACCACCGACCAGTGGTCGCTAAACCGGGTTTAACGAGATGCCCCGAATAGCGAACATATCTCGTCGTGGCACTAAGGGTCTCTAAACCGGGACCCTCACTCTGTAGTGTGCTTTTTCATATGCATAGTCTAACTGGTACCGTTTATTCTGTCAATTTTTCAATTTTCAGTAACATCGGGCATGCATTATAGGATTATAGGCGGGACTGCCAAGTGTGGGTGCATGGCTTATGTGCGCCCCCCTGGGTGCATCGAATATTTTTGCGACATACAGCAGTGTTGCATGTTAGAAAACATAAATACAAACACAGAAAGACTACCCATTCGAGATAAGACCACAGTGTTGTGGTGGGGACGTCATTGTGTGGCATCTTTGGATCTTTGGAGTTCGGGGGGAGTTGTTCGAGGTTCGAGCTTTTGTACAGTACGGAGATGTTGACATTCAGTTTTTCCGACAGCGTCCGTCTGTGGATGAATGAACACGTTGCCAACTACTGCTGGTGTGTCTAAATGTAGCCCTGCTGCATGTCATTCCTGTGCGCACACAGCAGCACAACGCTTGTGGGGATTTTCCAGGCAAGTCTACAGTCTACAGCAGTATAACCGCACATACCCATGGCGCCGATAGTTTGTGTGTCATCATACCTTGGCGAGCACCGCGGGCGCCGAGGAGCTGTCCATGTCGACAACAGGCGGGGCCCACATTGCATTTCCTCTTTGCCGTTGACTTGAAGGAACACTGGAATTGGCGACTATATGACGCCACCACATGACCCCTTGCTTTCTTCTTCGTTCTTCGTAGACACGGAGCTCCACAAGTGGAAAGTTGGCATGTGTCCACAACAAAAAAAACACTCACCGTACCAAGAGCTTAGTACCACTTTACCACGCACAGCCCACGTTCCGGTTGTCTGGTCAGATACACTTGGTACATATCGGCCGTAATTCTCAGGTACCGTGAACTCTTGGATGCTGTCGATCTGACTAGGTGTTATGAAAGAGGATTTTCCTCGCCCTCGTTGGGTTGAAGCTGACAGTCTCGCCGGTAAATGACTCGGGAAAAACAACCGACAATCTCAGGCTTGTAGGCCTTGTCCGTTGCTCGGTAATTGTGATTTCTTGTATGTTGATGCTGCAGGTGCTTTTCGAATGAACTTTGGCCGTTTATTTTCCTTTGCCCGGCATGCTTTGTTTGATGAGGCTCTGTTTCGCAAATTGGAGTCCAGGCGACAGATGTTACGTGCACACCGACCTGAAGCATGTTTTATTTTACTGCTGTACAACAAGAACACCGTACGATTGTCGAGTGATCGATACAACAGCCTTAGCCATGGCGCCTGCCGTCAGTGAAACTCGTAGAGATGCTCAATAAACACGGAAGCTGCAGGCGCGCCAGACACAGAGTATGCGATGCAAACTCATGCCCTTGAGCGACCCTTCACTGAGTGAGCACTGCAGCGGTGATTCGAGAGCGACAACGCTCCGACTTCTCACACTTTCCTACGCAGCAGCAGCATCAACAGCAGCAGCAACGACTGAATGACAATAGCTTCCCCGCCGCCGCCGTTCTTGCGAAAAGTGAGCCGGAGGAGCGCACAGAGTGAGAGAGAGAGAGAGAGAGAGAGAGCGATGTGTGTGGCCGGGAAGTAGAGAGGAAAAACTCGCCGCAGCACGAGTGCAGGAGGTTACGACCAGGCACACCATGTGGGAGCCTCCTGTTGTGGACATGGAGAGTCCCGAAGCACCGAAGGTTCTAGCCAAGGTATAAAAGTGTAACAGCAGTTTCTTCTCTTTTGTGGTACCGCTGCCCGCAGCCTAAACCTACTCAACGGCGTTGCTTTTTTTCGCATCATTTGCTCGGATTCGGGGGCACAAGCGTAGACCTCCGCGATGGCAGATGCCTTCGTCCGTGATGCCAGATGGAAGGATTAAGTTTGGTTGAGACTTCCATACCTCCTAGTGTAACCACGATTTTTTTGTTCTAGCATACAACAGGCAAAGAGATTCGGAAGGGCTGAATAACTCAGTCGTCCATGAGGCTAGGACTCACACGCCGCCGACAAAAGAAGTTCCTAGTTTGGCGGAGGTCCAGGTTGTTATTTCCTCTTTGGCACGACCGGCTTGTAAGAGGGTATACAGGACACTAATGTTTAATGTTTGGCTCCACGATGGATAAGTTCGCGCGAAACCGGGATTCGTCCGCTTCGGGTCGGGTGAGCGGGGAGTTTGGAGGGGATTCGAATCAGGCCACGGCTGTTTCGTGTGAACAGAACGACAACGACGACACATTAGGGGCAGGTGGTGGTGGGTGGTCGCTTGGCAGGCTGGGGTTGATCCGACGTGCCATGACTCGAGAACTTCGCGGCTACGACGTGCCAACGGGCTTCGCACGTTACTACTACATGTTATGCCGGGGTGATTTCTGATCTTCAAAGTATCATTCCGCCAGTCTTACCCTCGCAGACGTTACAGTGTTGTGCCGCGTGTGAGATAGTTGCACAAGCGCGCTTGCCAAGTGCTGTAGCTCGGATACTCCACCCGGAGCTTCGTTTGCTGTGGGGCCTTGCTCATTGCTAGTGTCAAGGCGTTTGAGACGATAGGAATCCCCGTGTGAATGGGATCTTCCAAACCAAATTTAGCAAGCAGCAGCAACACCAGCAGCGACAACGAAAACAACAGAACACCCTTTCTCCAGCTGAATCCCATCCTGCCGAATACCAAAAACACCCGCAGGGTTTCCGTTCTAAAGCCTGGCTGGCTTTACTTTTCCTTCATTTTCAGGCATGCAAAGACGTTGGTTTCTTCTACGTAGAAAACCACGGGGTTTCCAAGGACGCAATGCGAGAGGTATTCCGGCAATCGAAAGCGTTTTTTTCCCTGGGCATTGACGACAAGATGGCTGTCAAGGCGGACAGACACAACCGCGGCTTCACTCCCATGCACGAGGAGATTCTGGACCCTTCGAAGCAGGTCAAGGGGGATACCAAGGTAAAGTGCAGCTGACCCGTGTCATGGTGATTGCTTCGTATATTTGATGCTGTTTCTGCTGTTGCCATTTTTGCCACTGAAGCGGGCTGTTTTTTGTTGGTGGTGGTGGGTGGTGGTGGATGGTGGTGACGTGGTTCTTCCTTTTCTTTATTCTGATGTTTTTGTCCTTGGTCTTGCTCTTGTGTCTCGGTGTGTCCTTGGCGAACCCTGTTGATGATGCGATCGTTGTCGGTTGCCATGTGGTGAGAGTATTGGCGATGCGTGCTCTACCATCGTCAGGCTTCGACCAATGACACGTTTGTCGATGCAGACACCAGACACCAAGTACGCCCCCCCACCTCCTTTTTCCTGTCGAACAGGAAGGGTACTACATATTCCGGGAGCTGCCTACTCCTTCCGATGGGGAGGAAGACGCCGCCAGACCCCTCAAGGGGCCGAACCAGTGGCCGTCCGAGGACCTTGTTCCGGGGTGGGTGCCACAAAAACATGTTTCGGAAAATCATTCTATTCGATATTAGAACAACAACAACAGTCCCAGTTATACGTTCTTCCTTATGAAAGTCGCGCGCGAAATCAACGACATATTCGATGCCCTTTCTTGGGACGTATCGAGCACATGTTGTCCCATTTCGCCCTTTTCCGTGGATGTGGCTATTCGTACGCTTGTCGAAGCCCTCGACTGTTTCGTTTCTCGGGTTTCACGATTTGTGGGCGCGAGCGGCAGCTTCGAAAAGCGCCCCTTCCCACCTCATCCCGGCTCCATCTACCAGCGTACCTCTGCACGGGTGACTCCGGAACGACCGTGCATCAAGTTTGTTCCCCACGGAATACCATGGTTCCAATGGCTCGCACGAATTTGGCTGTGAAAATGGCGCCGTCTCGGCCGCAACCCCAGAGGAGCTGTAGCCGAGGAATGTGTAATGAATGTCAACTACTGTTGCGTTTGCTGTTCTATGCGCAAGGGGACGTTGTACGTCTTGGTCATGGTCACTGTCGCCGCTATTGTGCGGTAACCTAGAGCGGGCCGTCCTGAACCGATTTTTTCCGCACTTCCTGTGATAATCCTCTACAGAGAATATAGAGAGACCCGTGGTCAGATGTAAGAACGACCAATACAATATTCGTCAGAAACCTCACCATTCGCCGATAAAGAATAAAAATGCATCCAATTCCAGTGGTACGTTAGTGATGGCAGGCACGTTGCACGTTGTCTGAACTACTGAATTTCCAGGTGGAGGGCAACCATGCAGAGTTACTTCACCACGATGCATGCCGTGGGAGTGCGGCTCTCGGGACTGCTGTCCGTCGGCCTGGGACTTGACCCGTCGTTCTTCGAAAGTTGCACCTCGGAGATGGCCCACGCGCTGCGCCTGCTTCACTATTCGGCGGAGGTATCAATGACGCTTGTGGTGCCAGTGGACTGTAGGACTTCGGTCGAACGAAACAAGTCGAGGCTTTTTTTGACGAAATGGCGCCCCAGCGCAAGGCGCAGTCTGAGGAAGATGGAGTCATACGGAAAAGGGAGGTCGCACACAAGAGGTGTTCGTGTGTTAAGATACTAAGACAGCAGCCAGTAAAAATTACGACAAACATCAACAACGATCGCAGAACCCGCAGATCCACATCAACAGTACCAACCGCGATATGTTGCAAGGTTAACAGCAACACGATAGCGCGTATGGAGCATGGAGACTAAACTTGTGGCGCGATCGAAGCGTTCAATACGGTTGCGAGATCGAAAACAATACCAAGAGCGAACACAAATGCGACAGAACAACAATAGCCACCACCACGCAACACCAAGAACAACCAAAGTGTTAACAAAAACAACAAGAACAACCACAACCACAGCAGCATCAGTACCAAAAACAACTGCCTCAATCAGGTCTCGGATCCGGCGAAAGGCGTGATGGGTGCGGGCGCTCATTCCGATTACGGGCTGCTCACCTTGCTAGCCACGGTGAGCAAGCACGTACAATTTGATGGCGTTGTATTTTAGTTTCTCGCTAAGGTTTGCAATGGAGCGAGAAAGTCGTCTGTGTAGTCTACAGAAATTCGACGGGTTGACTTCCACCAACCTTCCACAAGTGCCCCCCTCCCCTGTTTGAGCAGCTAGTTGATTCGGGTTTCCCACGGTGTTGCAGCTTACCTCACCCCGCTCTTTCACCATTGTATCGGGTGATATTCGTTGGGGAGTTTTGGTGTATACGGTTGGTGTTTGCTTTGTCGAGACATGCTTTGCAAACGAGCGGCTTGTGTGGTATGAGTGGTGTTGAATGTCTTCCTTCCAAGTAGCAGTACCACCTATGTGAGAAATTGTCCAGGCAACGAATATATGTGGCTGTTCTGGCACTCCTTGTTGGTGTTGTTGGTGTTGTTACCATCGTCGGTCTAAGTAGTAGCTATGGTTGGTGTGCATGCTGTCAAGATGTTCCTTGAGATGTTGTACCTTTAGCTATCCCTGGCCGCATGTGCACCCTTTCTTAATACCGTTTCGTGAATGCTGTGTTCATTCACGGTTCGTTGGTCGTCGTTTGGTCAGGATGAGGTGCCGGGGCTGCAGGTGAGGCTGGACGGGGAGTGGTTGGATGTACCACCTAGAGAGGGGGCCTTCATCTGCAACCTTGGCGACATGCTCCAAAGATGGCGAGTGGTGTGTGTCGTTTCCAATCTTAAGCAAGAGTAGCTCCCGCTGACACCCCATGCCTACGACCTGCCGTAAACACTTCTCGATTTTCGAGCTCTTCTTGCAATGCATCGGAGTTCGGATCTCAAGGATTTCGAGTCAGCTTGAAACAAACAGTACGCCAACGTTAACAACGAAGGCCATTGAACAGATAAAAGAGGGGAACATACTCTAGCTCCTCCAGCCGCTTGACCCCAATTGTGACTGTTTTCTATCGAGCAGACAGACTGTAGACCTCGGACTCATCTGTTCCCCTGCGAGGGAGAACCTCACGAGAGTTCACACACCCAGCATGTCGCACGCGCCGGCATCATCGTAAAACTCAGGACGAACGACGAGTTGCGGTCTACTGTTCACCGCGTCGTGAACAAACTGGGCCGCGAACGCTACAGCATCCCGTTCTTCTTCGAGCTGAACTTCGACACAGAGGTTTGCATCTTAGGCAGGCACATGCTGCTGCGTGCTGGCGGAAATGCGTTCCATGACTACGCTGCTACCGAGAAAGTATTGCTGTATTCACGACATGCTGCTACGTTCGTGAGGCCGGGAGCCAAGTCGAATGCGCAGTGACTCGCAACCGACAGGAATTTCGCCTTCGTCCGTTTCACTGTATCACCGTTCTAGGCATTTACGATTTCAAGTTCTCGGCCTCATGCGTTTTAGGCTGCTTCAGCGGCGTCTTCGTTTTTTTGTTTTAGGTCAACCGGTTGTTTTCTGGCCTCATGGCCGCTCTTGAAACGGCCACGGTCTTGCGCGTTTTACACAAATCGGGTCGTTGCAAGCGGATGAGTGACTTCAAGTTGTCCAAGGGTGAAACTGGAGGTCTCAGCTGTGCTTGGCTACATGTTGAATTTCTCGCGAAACTGGTGTCCTCCGACGCCCGTGAGCGATGCGGGGAGGGGAACGCGCACGATAGCGTACGCCCTCCGTTTCTATGACCCCTACCACGACGGCGCGTGCCATATTAACATCATGCAAGTACCACAAACCGCACCATCAACAACAGCGCAATGTGGATTGGGTTTCCTTACCTTGTATCATTTTGGCGTGCGCATGACCCCTCGCTCCTGCGTTCTTTCGCATGGGGTCCAACTGCGCTCTGTGCTCTCTTGCGTGCTGCAATGTATCTGCTTCTCCGTCGTAAACAGGTTGTGTGTCTCCCGCAATGCTGCTCGGAGGAGAACCCCGCCAAGTACCCACCTGTCACCGCGGGCAGCTACATCTTGAATAAATACTCTCAAACGCACCAGGACTTCGACGGCAACCAGCAGAACGACGAGAAGTCGCCCTAGCACAGTACGCGATAAAGTGAAGGAACACATCGACCTCATCTGTGTACATACTGCTGTAAGGAGTGATCGGGATGCATGCTCAGTTCTCGATGTTCGGGTATTGTGCCAAGGGGTTCGTGCTCGTAGGATAGTACAATGGTTTGATAATGGCGGATTTAGAAGCGTACACTTGTGTTGCTGCGGTCGTACGTTTGCGAAAGTGAACCGCGTTGTCTTTTGAGGTGGATCATCGGACATTTTGGCGTCAATTGGGTGGTTCTCGTTGTGGCCCTTCGTCGTTGGAGTAGATCATGTACCTGGTGGCTTGAGGCATTTTTGTGCCGCAAATGCTTTCCCCCCGTATTTTTTTCACTCGTGGCCCTGAGCCATGTCTTGCGGTTGGTCGCTCGTGTTTCTCATGTTTCCCTCTGTCACTTGCGTATAGTAGGTTGAGCCGTATCTCTTACGCCCAGTTTATTCTTCGTGCAAGTCAATCATTTGGCGTAGTTTATTCTGGTGCCGTCGGGTGCAGTATACGCAAGCTCGCCCCGGGACTACGTGGATTGTACGACCCCCTTGCATGGAAAGTGCTCCCATATAATAGGATTTATATGTATGGGTTTGTTTCATGTAGGAAATTGTATGGCGTTGGGGGGGGCTTCGTACCCCCTCCCTCCCCCGGAAAGGTCCAAGATATAGTTTTGGGGGTTATGTGTCGGAATTTAGTATTTTTGTGCTCCCTTGGGTCACGTCATGACATTTCTCATGTTACGTCATCAAGTCTCGTGGGGCACCATAAGAATAGTACCATGGTGCGTCATGGTACAGTATCGCATGACAGAGAGCGTCAATCTCTACTGAGTTGCTGAGGAGTACCGAGAGCGTCTCCCGAGCGTCTGGCGTTGAATTAGCAGCGCAGATCTATTCCTCGATTCACCATTCATGGAGGGTTGTGTCTGAACAAGAAAATAAAGGTAGACTACAAAGTATTGGGTCGCCTCTAGGCAAAAGTTATATGCACCCATGGGTACGCAAATAAGTCATGCACCAATGCCCTCGACAGACCGATTACACCACCTGCAGGCGAAAAAACGGGCAAAATGTTCCGAGACTGGAACCCCTGACCTGGACTATTACTTGACGCACATGTGTCCCTTCAACCAGCAATGAGCCTAGTGCTTCTAAAACATATATGCTCTGCTGGGGCACGAAACCGGCTAAAAACCCTAACCCTAACCCTAACCCCAAACCCACCCGATAGGTGCTAGGTTGGGGCTGGGTGGCCCAGTTCTAGATTGGTTTGCCAGGCTTGGCGCTAGGTTGCTGTTGACGGGGAAAACTCTAGGTTGTCGCTGCTTGGATAGGTGCTAGGTTGGAGTTGATGGGATAAATCTAGGTTGATATTGCCTGGCTAGGTGCTAGGTTGGTCCTGACGTGGCTAGGTGCAAGGTTGGTGGGCCTTCGAGTAGGGCTAGGTCGCTCTTGGGTGGTAAACGGTGTTCGTCCAGGTCTGTATAGACGGGACTGCCAAGTTGTGGGGGCATGACTTATGTGCGTACCATGGGTGTATTTAATATTTTCCTCGCCTCTATTGTACAATAGACCGCTGTGCCCTTTTTTTAGACGAACAGAGGTGACCAAGAAATTACACCCCCTGATCGCGAACAAAGCAGGGAAAGTTGTTTGTCATTCCACGACGGAAGAGGATATTGTATCATTAAATCAAAGCGATATTGTACCTTTTGGGAAAGCCTCACGACCCCATTCCGACACCCCTACTCTGCTGTGGACTACGTCGTCATCGGTCGTTGTTACTTGGGCCGGGGGGGGTGATATCTTGTGTCATATACGACACTGACCACCGTGTTGGCACAGTTCGTTGCACTTTTGCGGTGAAGATTGGGCCACAGGGGGTGTGAAACCTTCTGTCGCCTACGGTAGGCAAACAAATCTACACCTACCTAGTCTGCATCCTACGGATTTTCGGAGTTGTTGCAGCAATATTACAATGACCCATCTCGTCCACGGCCGTGTCCGTGGTCCGTCCGCGGATGTGGGTGGACGCGTCCGTGGACAAACCGTCCATGACATGTCCGTGGACATTCACATCTTTTCGGTGTCCATAGACACGTCATAGTAATGTCACATAGATTACATACGTGTAATGTAAATCGTCGGGGGAGGAGCAACGCTCGAGGGAGGTACATCAGGACGGACATGTTGGCATTCAATTTTTCCGACAGCGCCGACAGCAATCTAGGATGAATGCACACGGTGCCAACTGCTGGTATGTAGATGTGTCGGTGTGACCTTACTCTAAATGTAGCACTGCTACTGCCATTCCTGTGCGCACACAGCAGCACAACGCTTGTCGTGGGGATTTTCACGGCAAAAGTCTCCCGAGAGTACTTGTATCATGGTTTGTACTGTGTAGACTACTGCTGTACACACACACACGCAATTTCAATTCATGCATCGAGTTTGTGCTTCTCATCATACCTTAGCGGCACAGCGGGCGCCGAGGAGATGTCCATGTCGACGACAGGCGGGGCCCACATTGTACTTCCTCTTTTGCCTTTGACGTGAAAGAAAACTGGGACTATAATGGGCGATGAAAACATGCGCCTCTTGCCTCTTTCCTGTGTTCTCTCCTGTGTTCTTACAAGATACGGAGCTCCACAAAAATCGAAGTTGGCGTGTTCACAAAAAAAAAAGCACTCGCGGTCCCACACAGCAGCAGGGTTCCGGTTGTCACTTGCACCCTCCCTCTGGTACACATCGGCCCTAAATCTCAGGTAACGTGGGCTCTTGGATGCAGTCGATCCTTACCGCTGTGACCATGTGTTTCATGAAGAGCCTCGCGCTCCTTTGGCCGAGGTCACACACCCCAATCCCCCGCTTGTGTGTTTAAGCTGACAGTCCCGCCGGTATCGGGAAAGAAACACTCCCAGACGCTTGTCCGTTGCTCGGTCTTTGCGTTTTTTTTATGCTGATGCTGCAGGTGCTTTTCGAATCAACATTGGTCGTTGATTTCCCTTTGCATGGCATGCTTTGTTTGATGAGGCTGTGTTTCGCAAATTTGAAAGAAAAAGAAATTGGGCGACATCCAGCGACATCTAGTATTTTACCTGCACGTGAAGGATTGCTACGGGATATATGGAGACCCTTGGACAACTGAAAAAAATACCATCTGGTGGGCGCGTATATATCTTCTGGGAATATCCCGGCCACCTGTCCAGATTCCCGGTATTCCGACATTAGGCAAGTATTGTGGAGGTACAAGGGTTAGGGCCGGTCTTAACGCAGGAATCAGATCTCGAAATCACATTCAGATTTGGTTAGAAGACCGGAAGATCCAAAGAACTCTGCTTTTGATTGGGCACAAAGTTCTTCCGCCGGTCTCCTCTTTGGGTCCTACCTAAAACCAAATCGGGATTTGAAGAAAGGTGAAATAATTTAAAAGACCTACCCTTAGTAGCTGCAGCAAGCGCTACATAATACAAGTGTTCCTTGCTCACAGCAGTGTTGCCTGGGAGCAGTATAGTGAGCGGTAGCGGGCGACTGAGAGAGAAAGGAAGGATAAGGAAGGAATCAAACAAGCGAAGCGGCTCTAACATGCACACAGTGGTCGGACTACATGCTCCACACTGCAATCACACTTGGCCTCATCTTGGATACGCACGTGAGTCCCTTCAATTTCCGGCTGGATGGGGACTTTTTTTTCGCTGTGTTTAAGACTGCAAGTAGCGTGTAGACATTTTCCTTGTGCATCAAGCTATTGATCGGTAAGACAGTGAGTAGTGCAGCGGTTATAGATCCTTGGGAGTGAGTGTGTCGTGTCCCGTGCAAGATGAGAGTCATGGTTTTCATTGCAACCGCTGTTGCTGGTTTTGTTGTTTCGATGACGACTTGAAATATTGGATACAAGCAGTAGACTGTATATATCTCTCACTTTTCGGAAGCTTCAAGTAGTCCTTGGGTAGACATATACTTCTATATATTTATCTTTACGAAGCTCGTTCTCATGGTAGCACTCACAGGTCGCTGCGCCGACTCAGCAGCTGCCAGCCCGCACGGCACCGGTAGTACCTCGCGAAGCTCTGCTTCTAGTGGCAACAGCTCTCCTGTTTCAGCACACTCCCCTACCTCCACGGACACCAATGAAGTACACTCCTGGGTGCAGCAAGCAGCTGCATCTCATGGATCTTTGGTCGAACATGCAATTGCATCAGGTTTCACCCAGTACCTCCGTGCCCCGTGATACCCACCAAACGCCCTTCGACACTAGTAGTATCCTGGTTGCCACTGATGCTCCACTACCGAAGATGCTGTTTGAAGCGACGCCGGTCTCGCGACACAAGCACGCACCCTGCAAAGTTCGGATATATTTGCCTTTTCTTGCCGAAGGGCATCCGATCGGTGCTTCTCCGAGCGTTGACAGCAGTTTCCCACCGTGTCGCAACAACGCCGAGATCTCATTGTTGTATCGTTCACGCTTTGAGAAGGGAAGGAATGAAACTGAACAAGCGAAGCGGCTCCGTAAGTGAAACTCGTAGAGATACTGAAGCTGCGGCGGTGATTCGAGAGTGGAATCGCTCCGACTGCTCACACTTTCCCACCCAGCAGCATCAGCAGCAGCAGCAGTAGCGACTGAACGGTAAAATCTTCCCCGCCGCCGCCGTTCTTGCGAAAATTTAGCGTGGCCGGGAAGTTGGGAGGAGTAACTCGCCGCAGCACGAGTGCAGGAGGTTACGAGCAGGAACACCATGTGGACGCCTCCTGTTGTGAGCATGGAGAGTCCCGACGCACCGAAGGTTCTGGCCAAGGTATCTGCGAGAAATTATTTTTGACTTTCGATTCATCCCTTTTGTAGTACCGCTGCCCGCAGCCTAAACCTACTCAACATGCTTTTTCGTATGATTTGCTTGGATTCGGGGGCCATAAGCAACAACCTCAGCGGTGGTGTGTTGTCAGATGGAAGGTTCGTTATGGTTGAGACGCTCGTACCCCTAAGTGTACCCACGAAACTTTTCTTCAACAACAAGCAAAGAGATTCAGGAGGACTAAGAACTCAATCATCCGTGAGGCTAGGACTCACAATCTAGATAGAACACCAACCGAGCGTATTTCTTCACGAATTTCATCAAAAATGCGGACCCGCACGGCCGTGGCGATGACCGGCCGCCCCAGTTGTCTTGTGCTGGTACAGAAAGAAAGGTTTTCGTGTTTCCACGGTACGCTAGACTACGGGTCGCGCTGGCGGAAGTTGTCTCGCGGGTCGGAGGGCATTACTTACTTGACACACACGCTATCCTTGTGAAACTTTGCCTAGGCCGGCGAAAACCCGACGAATCGCGCCGTCCAGGTACTGTAGGGATGCGAGGTAATGGTCGACCGAATACGGCATGCATGGCTATGAGTACCCCGAAGGGAGTAAAAGTAGGGGACACGGAAACTTCGGTGTCAGGAATGCTGTTTGCGGATTATTTTGTTGGTATGTCGGACACCCCTGAGGGACTGCAACTGCAAATTGACGCGGCGAAGAAGTTTACTGATAAGTGGACATTGTCTGCCAACGTTACGAAGAGTGCCGTCATGGTATGCAACGAGGGCAGGGAGGAACCAGTAGAACATAGATGGAAGTGGGGGATCGAGGAGATTGCAGCAGTGGACCAGTACACATACCTCGGAGTAGAGATCGCAAAAGATTGCTCGTGGAATACACACATGTCCAAGGTAGCGGAAAAGGGCAAAGCACGAGCAGGGAAGCTGCACCCAATACTCGCAAACCGGCACCTTGATACACGCATCAAATTGACGGTTTTGAAGAGCGTAATCGTACCGCCGCTAGAGTACGCCGGAAAAGTATGGGAAGGAAATAAGAAGGTAGTGAAAGAACTCGAGGCGGCGCAGATGAAAGCAGCGAAAATCATCCTAGGATGCTCCAAGCGCACAAGTAATGCAGCAGTCAGGGCAGAATTGGGGATCCAATCCCTACGGTCGGGAAGAGACGTAAGGAAGCTGACATGGCAGTATCGCATGTGCGGGATGGGAGAGGAGAGATTGCCGAGAATAGTATGGGAGGCGAAGTGGGCAAACAAAAAGAGGGGTAGACAACCCACGGAATGGGTCAAGGTTGTAGAGGACGTATGGAAGGGATTGGACATCGACGAAGATGAAACGCTTGAAACGGAGGGTCTACAGGGGTTCAAGAAGAAGATATCTGTTGCTTGTGCCGACAGAGAAGAACAGAATCTAAGGAAAGAATCCAAGGATAAGGAGGGTCTAGAAGTGTACGGAATGTTGAAAGAAGGAATAGGGTTCAAGGATTACCTACATGGACCAATGGATGCAGGGACAAAGCTTAAGGTCAAATTCAGGACCGGGGACATAGGCCTTCGCGAACGTCGACGAAGACATAGGACGGTAGACGACGAAGACGACAAGTTCAAATGTGATTGCGGCTTCGAATGCGAAGACAGTGTTCATGTAGTCGCGGAATGTCCGTGGTACGAAAAGGAGAGGGAAGTGTACATGACTGAGCTGGGAATAATACAAGGGACGTACAGGGAGATGTTTGAGGCATGGAATAGGGAGGAGAGGACGGTAGCGGTACTGGGGAGTAGAAAGTGGTTTGAAAAGGCGGGAAGGGACATCGTTAGGATAGACAAACTAGGGAAGACATTTTTGAGCCACCTTTGGCAAAGTAGGAAGGAACGATTGGCCATCGGTGATCGGTCCTGTGGGAACAATGCTCCGTCCTCTCGAGGACGCGTGGTCAATGGTCTAACCGCTAAGGCATGCAAAACATACGGGTACGCCCCCCCCCCCCCCCCCCCTCCTTTCTCGCTGCAAGGCACAGTCTTGTGTCAAGAGCACCATGTTGTGACCTGAATGGGCTCAAGCAGTGTCCAACTTGACAAGAACAAAAAATGAAAACCGCCTTTCGTTAGAGAGGAGCTGACTGCAATTTGTCTTCTTCAAATTTCTTTGCCAATTGCCTTTTTTTCAAACATGGTGCAACATCTCTGGATATACACATCAAGCGGGAACGTGCGGCACAAACACTTCTCCTTCCATTAGTGGTGCGTTCCGCAGGATAGAGTATCGGTTGACATTTGGGATTCTGAGATGGGCCAAGGGAAGTGCAGCGCTTTCTGTATCTGAATATAGCGTGTACTCTGCCATCCTCTGCGCAACGTGTACTCTTGTGATACTTGGTTTCGACATTATTTCGCGGTCGGTCAGGCAAAATGGAAAGCGCGTGGGGAGGCGCTCCCATGCCGTATTATTAAGTGATATCTTGTCAAACGTGTTTCCTAGTCTAGGAATAATGTTCCGTAAATTGGAAGGAGCCTCGTTCATTTGGCGACGGTGGTGTCTCGACTAGTGTAAGGGTAGTCTTCCGTTGGCCAGTAATAGCTCTATTCTGGGTGCCAGGGGAATGCAATAGAATTGAATACAGTTGTGGCAGGCGCGGGTGGGCGTGAACTGTGGGAACGACGTGGAACGGCGGGTGGAAAGCTGAGACCTTTGTTCCGAGAGCTTTGGGCAAGTCAGAGGGTAACCGTTAGCTTTTAGGGAAGCTTTCTGGGTTGTGGTGATTGACGACGGCTCCGACAGCCCGCGCAAATCACCTGGAACAATGCCCTTCGAAACGACTGACCTTCGTCCTTAGCCTTGCTTATTCTATCTCCATTGGCAAACTCAGAACCTCAGGTTCTACGATGCTCGTTGCCGAGCAACACCTTTTAACGTAGCCCCTCTTGCCCCGGAACGTCTAGCATGACGTGATGAACCACTTTGGTCTGTCCTTTACGTCAACAATGATGAGTATTCAACGGGAAAACGTGAGAGAACGCCGATGACACGGCGAAGACAGTACGAAAGGATGCACGCTATTTGCTACCCCCACGTCCCGACCCGCCCTGCACATCGCGTGAGCATTCATTCATCCAAGAAGGGAGAGTGAGATGAGGGAAGATGTTCAGTTTTCCGAAGGTGATCCTCCATCTAATCCATACCATGCATCAAGCTGTCTGTGCGGCCGTACCAGCAGCGGTTGCCGCACACCATGATGATTTCGCACATTATTCTTATTGCCATTAGGACGATAGCGGGGGCTGGGGGGGCGGCAGAGGACGGCAGAACCGTATCCCAGGGTCCTCGTTCGCCGCGAAATGAGCGAGCGAGCGAGCAAGCGGCCACTTTATCGACGGCCTGCCCAGGTCCCCCGAGTAGCTCCCTGTCCCGATGAAGCGGGGAAAGCTCGCGATGCTGGACGTCTCGCTGTCGGCGAGGATGCTGGCCTCCTTGTAGAGGTAGCGCCGGCGCCGGCAGCTGCTCGAGACTTGGAGTCTATGGCGGCGATGTGCCGGAGCCGAGCTTGGCGTTCGGACTCTTGCCGGCGAACCTGATGCGGACGAGTTGAGAGCGGTCGTGAAGCGGTGCAAATGATACAGGGACTCGGCACCATACTTCTGCACTTGGCTGCGGGTTATGCCAAATTAACTATTATCACCGTTGTTCACGTAGTTGCCACTTCACAGTCTGGCTCTACAGTCTGTGGCTTCACAGCCTGTGCTTGACCTCGCCTGCCACTGTAGTTCACACGTTGAACCGCCAAAAAACAATAAACAACAACAGCTAGGTCGCATCTACGGCCTAAGCAGTGTAGCTTGCCTTCTCGCCTAGTAGCTGCTCCCGAGCAGCCTGCAGCGCCATGGCCTGACTGTCGATCATCTGCGGCACGGTAGGGAAAACAAACGTTGTCGAGATAAACGGGGGTTGGCGACGCTCTCGATGAATGAATGCTTTACTTGCGCTTTACTTAAGGTAATGTGTCTTCTCTGGATTTTCTCTAGGATAGCCTACTCAATGTCTCGATGGGTACCGAGGCTGCGAAAGGTGAGCAGCTGGGTCAACACGGTGTGCGGTTGGTTTCCTCTGCTCTCTCGCCTCACCTTCTGGTACCGAACTACACTGCCCTGGTGCCTGGCTCGTGCCGAATCCTTGGCCTCCAGCTTCTTCACCGTCGATTCTAGCTGACGGCATCATCGGTACGGGAAGGTTAGGTGGAAAGTCAGACTTCAGAGGATACTTACATCGTGTGACGCATGGCATCGATCTATAACCTGATGCGTGTCACGGGGCGTTACTTTGTCGACAAAATATATCCGCTAACATGGTCTTGGACGTCCGCCAAGGCTTTCTCGAGTAATGGTAAGCCATTCAACAGCAGTGTATTGCAATATCGTTCTTGGGGAATATTTTTCCTCCGTAATTCTTGGTGGCTCTGGACGAAACGCATCCAAACGCCCCATCTCGTCGGTTGCAGAAACGATCAACCGCTCCATGACGTCATAACCCCGGTGATGACCACACGTTTAGACCACCAGTCTACGCATGGGCCGACAACAACAGGCTGTAGAGGCAACACAAGCTCGTCACAAACACACGGCAGCAGACGGGTGGTTCGGCGATCCTGTTTGCGCGTGTGGGAATGTAAAGAACGGAGGGGAAGCTGCCTTGATGAGACTGCTACCCACAAGTGAGCTATCAACGCCGCCGTATTCTCGTCCGAACATGTACTATGTTTTCACAACGTATGGAACCCCGGGCGTAATTTTCACCGATCGCTTTAGGGTAAATACAGGTGATCTTTCCGCACTGATGCAACCTCGGAATGAGGTTCACCCAGCAACCATCTGACCTATACAACCGTTCGTTATTCAAACCAGCTCCTACATTTTCACGGTTCACTCGTTGGAAGTCGAGCACTACTCTCAACTTCTGTATGTATCAAGGTGCCAATCCAATTCCCTGGCGGTTTTACTCCGGCATGCTTCCAACTTGCTTGTGCGGAAATTTTTGTCTCGAAAATAAGTATTTCGGAAACGTTGAGCCAAGCGGTGAGTTTCCAAGTGATCTTGTAGCACCTTCACTCGCAAGGTCTCGATCACTGCCTCTGCTGCTGTCTTGGCGGCCTTAGCCTCCTCCTCGGCCCTCGAGGCAGAAGAAGCCTGCTCGACAGCCTGCAGCCGTAGCAGGGCTTCGTGCTCCATGTCCGACTTGGCCCTCTGCTCTTGGGCCAACGCCTTGTCGGATTCTTGCTGCACAGCATCCTGTCGTAACGCAGAGGGAGGGCACAGTCTGTTAGTTGCTTTGGCTAGTCGAACATTGACGGTGCACCTCTCTTTTTTATTGCTCTTCGAAATCTCTTTCTATGGTTCAAATTCGTACCCTGGGGCTCTCCATCTGAGAAACGTGGTAGTATGTGCGTCGTTGGTCTGATGCCGTCGTGCTACCGCCGTTCTTCTCTGCCTGTCAAGACCAGATAACATCCAATCCCAGGGATTGTGATGCAATCAGATTGGGGGCTTTACACTCGTACCTTGGGTGCCTCGCTCAACACCATGAAATTCGCACCCCCCCGACTCCAATGATTGCAGCAGATTCTCGATCAACATTTGATTTTCCAGCATACTATCCATGCCGCAAAAGAGATTTGCTTCCCACCAGATGTGTTTCTGAAGCCTTAGCAAACGCCCACCTTTTGATTGATAGCGCATTCTAACTCATGCTCCAACTCGGAGAGTTTCTTCGCGAGGACTTCAGTCCCATTCTGCAAATGACGATATGCGGAACGCGGACAAAAAAAGGAGGGCGACGGCGGGGGTTAGGTGCGGTATCCTCTTGCCCGTTGGCCTCACAAATGTTTTCCACCGAAGGATGTTTTGCTTGGCACGTAGGTCGTAGAGTCGCAGAACGGCGAAGCGGAGTGATCCTGCTTTCGCACACACTTGCTGTTCTAGTGAAAAGTGTAACTTGCCCAACATAGCGTTCCCCGTTGTCAGAGCGAGTGAGATAGGCGCGGGAGGGGGAATTGTGGTTGCTTGCTCGTATGCCTGTTTGGTGTGCCTCTGCCACGCAAGAAGACGCGTCCTTGACCTTCCAGGCACACGACACACAGTATCTGCCTGTGCTGTACGGACCAGGAGTACCCAACAGCCAAAATGCCGACGCTGCAGCGCGTCAAACGGCCATCCATGTTGGAATTGCCCCTCGCACCAACCACAATCGACCGGAGAGCGTTCCTTCCCTTGTTACCTCCGAAAACACCGTGTCCAGGCCGGGGTCTCGCACTCGCATGTTATACCATCGGGAGGCATTGGCGCAAGGACACCAGCCAAAGTCACGACTTCACACATTCAACCAGGACACGAAACCGGTGGCATGCACATTTGGCCTACAAGTTACTGGTTACCTCTAGCTCCCGAATGCGACTTGCTTGGCCCTTGGCTTTGGAGAGCAGGCGTTTGTTCTCCTGCCCCATCGCCTTAAGCCCTAGCTTCGCCGACGCAAGGTCGCACCGATTCACCTGATTAAAAATATCGGGGTAGACGTGACAACAACACCGAAGTGGCCGTACGGTCCAAGGGACATCCGTCAGTCCGCCATTTCCTGAGAATTAGTTTTCCATGACCTATGCGCCGAACACCACAACTATTCCGGCTCCGGCCAAACAGCATTGCTTGTGCCTTGCAAACGGTATCAGCAGTATAACGCATAAGTAGAGGCATCAATACTGGAGCACCTCTTTCGAGATGCTCGAAAACACAGATATCCAAGAGTAACGGAGCCCCGTCGTCAGATCCGAGTACCTTCTCCCCGCCATGCAACAACCGTGAGCATTAGCAACATACCTCCTTCTCGGACATGTGTCGCTTGCGCAGGCGGTCGCGATGCGCCGCCACCGACTCCTTCCGACCGGCGTCCTTGTACCTCCGCACCACTCCCAGGAGGCGTTCCCTGTCCAGCCGTAAGTCGGCGTTGTCCGCGGCCAGTTTGCTGTTGGGGCGAAAGGAGAGGGCGAGGGAAGCTTGCGTGTAGAACGCGAGTTGCTCTTACAAACGATCAAGATCGAATAGGCGAACGAACGTGCGGTTGGGAGCCAATAATATAGAACCGGTACGGGATTTTTTTGTGGATGACGGGCACAATCCGCAAACCGCCGTCCTACAATGAAGAAGCGGTACTCTAGCTCGAACTGAGGGGGGCTAGTTGATCGAAAAAATCAGACGAAAGCGAGTGGCTGTTTGGAGTGAACCCCTGTGAGAACCAACTTACTATCCAGCGGCCCCTGATGGTGTCGAACACGAAGGAGAAGCACTACAGCCTGAACTGGACGGGTACGCCCCTTGTTGGGGTGGGGACAGAGTACGCGGAGCACGGTCTACTGCCGCAACGAAGGATTCACGTCGAGCGCTGATGTCTCTGACTACCTTTCACGAACAGGAGGATCAATGAAAGCGATTGATATAACATCTTGGTGGAAGCCTCGACGCCTGAGCTTTCACCTGTTTTCCTCTTCCAAGGTCTTGACTCTTCTCATGAACGACTTGGAGCTCCGGCGTTCCTCCTCGCACACCCTGTGCACCTCCTGTTGTTTTTGGTCACCCAGAAATATACGACATTTGTCATGAATAGCGCAAGAACTACATCCGGCACAACACAAGGGAAGCCGCGTGGATAGCGTTAATACAACGGGGGAGTTGCGAAAGGCCAAGAAAGATGCATACTGCAGGAAATACATCAATGAATGGGTGGTGGGTATGCGTGACCTCCTTGCTACAATGATCTGATGCAGGTGGAGTGCTTTCCCCTTGGTCACGTGTCACATCTTACCGAAGTGCTCTCATTGGGTCTACTGTAGTAGCTGGTGACCATGTATTCCTTCCTGCACCTTGAAGTCTCGTTCCCTCGACTCTGCTTCCCTCTTGGCCCACTTGAGTTCCTTCTCTTGTTCGTCGAACCGGGTCTTGAGCTCGAACAGCTCCGTAGCCATGTCGACGCATCGCTCCTGCGGCGACGAATTGCCGAACTACAGGAGTCAGCGTGATCCCGCAACGCTTATCATTTTATTGTCCTAACGCGTAGGATCCATCTCGTGTATAAACAAGATCGAGTTCCAGCGGGCACGGTGCATGCCCGCTTAGCTCCTTGGCGCTCAACAGCGCAGAACCACCCCGGCACCGAACCGCGTCGTGAACACCGACAGCCTTGCTAGATCTTAGCCGTATCGTCACAGCTCATGAGTACGTACAGATATGGTGGACGGTTTTGAGTTGCGACGGATAATTCTTGATGGCGTTTCGTCCAGGAAGTTAAGTCGATCTCATCGTTGGCTTCAGGGGTCGGTATGGAGATTGGCATCGTGTGAATCGGTCGGTGTATATGGCGTCTTGGAACGGGTTCGTGCACCAATTTTGCGGCACCAACTTCACCATCTGTACACAATAAACGGATCAACTTTCGTGCCGATTAAACCAGCGATGACCTTCTCCCTCCGTCTTGAGCAGGGCTACATTGCAACACAACCCTTAAGGTTGGCCCCTTGCAAATCTGGATCAAACAAAGCATCAACGGCCACCCACCTGCAGGTGGGCCGCCTCGGTGACCGACGGTGCCGCGTCGAGGTCTGCCCGACGAAGGTCTCGATCCACCATTATCGTGGGCTGCAGCTGGGTGCGCAAAGGTGTGGTTGTGGAAGTAGGTCGGCGGTGTCACGCGGGTTCATGTTAGCTGCTACGGTACGATCGAGACGGAAGCAATGCTGGTTTGAACAGTCGGTGGTTGCTCCACCAGTCTACTCTTAAGAATATATATCGACAAGGACAAAACCTGTATCCACAAACATGTGTGTCTAATAGGGCAATGTGGCACGAGGGACAGGAGAGCGAAGCAGTGGGGGGCGGGGGTGGATGGTGTCCACGATATCCGTAATTCCAGCCGTGTGCTATGCATCATGTACGCCAAGATAAAATATCTTGCCTACTTGGAAGTATACCCGTATATGACACAAGATAACACACCCCCTGGACCGATTTTCAAAGCTCGATTACTCCACGACGAAGAGGATGCATAAATGAAACAATACGTTTTCGAACAGCTCTCGACGAGACGGTTCCAACGCCGCCGTTTTCGGCGCTGTGACTCTTCCTGCTGTTGAGAAATCGAGCTTTGAAAATCGGCCAAGGGGGTGTGTTATCTTGTGTCATATACGGTATACATGGTGTGGTCTACTCAGCATCGCGTGGTCTACTCAGCATCGCGTGCAAGGGAAAAGGGGGAATCGCCGCAAATGAAATGCCAACGAGAAGTCAGATCTGTTCGAAGAAAGGACTGTAAAAGGGAGACATTCCGCGGTACCGGTAGACTACTTACGAGGTACACACCTCTCTTGTTGGGATGTTGGTTGCTGTGTAGTAAACCCGTATCGGCCAGAACGACAGTAGACTAGGCTATGAAAACCCGTATTGGTCATATCAAGGACGTCCTCCGTGGTCACAGCCCAGCTATTACCCAGAAAGTACAAACTTAAACTTCTCAACATCCAAAGGAAATAACAAAAGAAGGAAAGCCGTTGTTCTCAAAAATTGGATCTTGCAGAGTAGAATAAAACTGCTGTGCTGAGTACAGCAGTCAAGTACAGCCCCCGTTTCCCATTAAAAAAAAAAAACGGGTGCAACCCACCTCGATCTTTGATGCTTGCACAGGTATCGGCTCTGCATGACTGTCACAGTGACCACCACCGAAGGGCGACAAGACCGACGTCGCGCGTGCTGTGTACATCTCCGCCATTTCCACTGCAGCTGGGCACCTGCGGCCTCCTCAGCCTGCGGCTACACCGCCGAGACCTCTCTCAGACACGCGCTGTCGCGCACGGATGCGACCACGTTGGATATCCACAGATAAGACGGCCTACCCGCGATGCTGTAGAAATTGAAGTACTGGGGCTCACACCAGCCGCACGAATCTCCTCGATGCAGCACACACTCGTGCCAAACACACCACAACGCTCCCTTTTGCTTCACCTCCCATGGATCGGCATAAATCAGCCGTTCAGGGGGGCACGCGGAAAAGGCAACAAACAAACGGCCTCTTGGGACCCCCACTGCCGACTAGTTGTCATCGATGAAGTGATGCGACCGCAGAGTGCGCAAATCACCACAAGCACGGGGCTCGCATGTGGCCGCCCTGCCGTAGCTTCTCACTCCCCCTAGTGCTTGCTGCCGTTGGAGTGGGGTCGTGCGCTGATAGCTTCGGGCCGGTGGGGATATTTTCTGCAGGGAGAGATTTTTGTGACACAAGGAGGCTGGGATTGTCCGCACGCGGAGGCAGCAGCAGTTCTGGCAGGACCAGCAAGTGCTCGTCAGAGGAAGGTTAGTCAGTGGAGGATGAGGGGTAGAGGAAGGTGGCCCCGTTAGATTTCTTACTCACGTGCTAATAGCTGTCCTCTTGTCTTTCTGGCCAATTTTACTTCCAACCAGCGCATTTCTAATCTTCAGCAGTACACAGGTGTCCATGCACGACAGCTACCGCTGTAGCTCCGGCACAGCAGTGTAGTAATGCCTGCCCTTCAACAACACACCTACTGCTGTGGATAAGGCTGCTGCTGCAGCAGCAAGCCATCTGCTGTGTGTCGTCTCGCTTCCTTCCCATGTCCTGTTCGAGTTTCCTGTTGCTTCCTATTTTGTCTGTGGGCGTATCGCGCGGTGTGGCACGCACTCATGATACACCCAGCTGTTGGGATCACGATCATGCACATGTTTTTGCGTCACCCCCCGAAAGTTGGTATTGGGGGCTACTGCTCATGTTGCTGTACACACCACGACAGAGAGAGAGGGACGATCGCACTGCTGTATTGTAGCACAAATGGCACAGGGAACGTATGTTCGCTTGCTGGGGAAGCATTTCTCTACGAAACGAGGTCGCCAAAAATCCACACGGTCGGCACCTCTGAGCTGGAGAGGGCTGCCGTCGACTATGGCCCTGCGAGCGACGTAACCTTTCGACCAGGGGCGCTCGCAAATGGCGTGTGTTGAAAACGTGTTGCCCTGTGCGATTCACGCTGGTTTCCTCGAACACAGCATTATACTGGGAATATCCAACCACGGCTGTTGCAGAGTTTCGCATGCTGTTAGGCTTGGCGTGAAATCTATCGCGAAAGACGAATTCGGGGGGCGGCGACCGACATCTTCCGCTCGTCTCTTGTTGCAGGTTTCCTGCCTGCGCCAGCCGCTGTGTCTGTAGCATCATCGCCCGTGCTCGTTGTTGCAACCTCCGCGCTCAAAACTTGTCGACCTTTCGAAGGACCATCATCGGCGTCAGTGCCAAGAAACGCGGCTTCTAGGTTGAACTCGTCGCCACTCAGCGATCAAGCAGACCCCGGCGCACCTCCACAGCAACGGCAAGGATTGACCATGCTGCTGGAGCACACGACGGACATCTACGACGGCGTCACGGTCGACGGGGCCAGCCTCCCGGCGACCACGGAAGAGTTCAAGTCGGTGCTGGAAGCCTCGCTGGAGGCGTGGAGATCCACGGGGAAGAAAGGGGTGTGGTTGAAGGTGCGTGCAGGGGGCCTCGCCTTGTCGACGGGTTGGCGCCGTGGTGGAACACGCCATCCATCACTCTCGCACACGCAACGTGACACCCAAACACCCGAACGTTTTTTGCTCGTCTGCACGAAACCAACGTCGTCGCGAAACGTCCCCTCGTGAAAACTCCCGCTGGGTGTATATCAACGCCACCACCAACCAATCGGCGCTGCGGAAGGACCTCACCACCGTAGAAAAAATGTCGATAAATTTTCCCGTGTGCCGGGAGGGTGTTGTAGCCGCCCCAACAGTTGCTGTCGAAATTTTTTCATATTGTGTTGGTGTTTTTTGTGTTGCGGTCTTGGTGCAGGTGCCGGCGGACAGAACGGAGCTGGTACCGGTGTCGATCGACCTGGGCTTCGAGCTGCACCACGCGGAGAAGGCCTACATCATGTTAAACATGTGAGTGCGAAAAGCGGCGGTGCTGTACATCCTGGAGCCCTGTCCAACATGTCGGTGAAATGACCCTGTTCAGGTCCACGTCGTGTTCTGAAACCATGAGTGAGCTTAAGATTTGCCTTGTCTGACTTTCATCTAACCTCTTCCGCAGATGCGCTATCGGGCGTGCGTGTGTTATCTTTATTTAGAAGTGCTTGTATTCTTGATGCAATCACAGCTCTGAGCGTTTGTGTATCGGTGGTGTCGACCGCGTCGACCAACTGACTACCGAGGGAGAAGTGCATCGGGATGCGTACATGCGATGCCGGGCAAAAACTAGTGTGTTTGTGTGGAGCGTCTGAACAGTTTCACACGTCGTGTGCCGTGTTTGATTCGTGGTCAATGTTCGGTACGCATGCCTGACACCATTTAAAATGTATCGATCCCTCAGGCCTGTTTCGCCCTGCCCATTAATTTCCGATCTTTGTGCGATCAGCCAGCCAGCTTCAACTTTTGATCCTCCACCCTTTTGTTGTCGATTCGATTGGATGAATCAATCCATCCGTCTTCCGTCAGGTGGTTGCCCTCCACCGCGAGCCAGCTCCCGGCAAACGCCAGCCACCAGGTCGGAGTAGGCGCGCTGGTGCTCAACGAGGATGGAGACGTGCTCGTGGTGCGAGAAAGAAATGGTGAGGTCTGAACGCAGCGGCCGACCCCCGTTGGCCCTCAAGTTTTCGTTCTCGCGAAGGCGGCTGCCTTGGAAGCACAGCCTCTGACCACAACCTTTTGTCATGGAGGAAATTAGCGAGGTTGCTTGAAGGGTGGGCGGTATTTTGAATGCCAGCGGTTGCTCCACAGGAGTCACACGCTTTCCAAGAAAATAAAAGCTCTTTCTTCAGGATAGGCCAACGTTTGGGTTGCCTGCACTGTGTGCTGTGGTATTATTTTGGAGGTTGTTGTTCGCTGTATCTAAGACGACAGTCTATCATGCTAGACGGAAAGCCGGCGGCCAAGTACAAGATTTTTGTGCGAGAAGTCTACGAGATTGTTGATTGGTTCAAACGGCGCGTTTCTCTCACAGGTTCGGTGCACAGAATGCCCTGTTTGATAACGTTTTCTCTAGTCTTTGCTTGAAGAGTAGTAGGGATTTGCAGGACACCCTCGTGCAGATGTTTACGGTCCACAGCAATATTGATTGCTTGCGCACAAGACCACGAGTTTGGTTGATTTCGTTGCAGCTTTGCAGAGGCCCCCGCCGCCGCCACGTTCCCTGTGCGATCAGGCTTGAGGAATACACGCTCTTGGAGGGCAAGCTTAGTCATTTCGCTTGACGGACGTATGCGAGAGCGATCTCCCCGCTCTCCCGCTGGTGCTTTCTTGCTCTTTCCGTTCCGTGACGAACACTGATTCTGACTGGTCCGCTGCTTTGTTGCCTGCTGCTGCTGCCATTGGTGGTGATGCTGCTGTTCCTATTGGCGTTGTTCCTCTTGTGTGCCGCGCGGGGTCTCTTGGATTGGGCGGGCTGCAGGTCCGCTGAGAGGAACGGGTATATGGAAGTTCCCGACGGGTGAGAGGGTTGCTCGTCCGGTTTGGATAGGCTGTTGCTGCTGCAGCTGCTTCTTCCCTATTGTTTTGTCAATTTGTTGGGTGTGTCGTTGCTTGGTTGCGAACGTTTGCCAAGGTGCTGATGGGTAGCGTACTAATGGACGGTTGCTGGAACAGAGCCACAAACCTTCCCCCCCCGTGCAGTAGTCGGTCTTGCTAAAGTATTTGCGGTCAGTCAACGTTGTTTCGCCTACGAGGCTGTCCGCCGCACTTTTTAGCTTCCCAAGACGTGCTCGTTACACCTCATCTCACAATCATACAGTAGTCGATCGTTCCGCATCCGTAGCTCAACAACGGTGGAGATATTCTAACCCGCAGGCGCACAACAGCATCTGTTTTTTTTTTGTGTTGGGCCACACATTCCTCTCTCCAACTGATTGTGTGTCGGTACTGCAAGCGAACAACGTTGATCACTACGGTCTTTTTTAGCTACTAGGTGTTCGGTGTCCTACCCTCCCCCGCGCCGTCCTCCTTGCCCCTTGAGATAATTGCGTTCTTTCCTTTCCTGCGAACGCGTGTCGCTTGTTTTATTCTTTCGTATTTCGCACGGTCCTCGATTGCTATTTAATTAGTTTTCGATTCCATAACCTCCCCGCCGCCGTCCTCCTCGCGCTTTGAGACCATTCCATTCTCTCCTTTCCTGCAAACGCATCTGTCGCTATTTTTTTCTATTTTTGGTCTCGAAGGTCTGATTGACGCCGGCGAGGATCTCCCAGACGCGGCGGCGAGAGAGGTGCGGGAGGAAACCGGGCTGGACACGGAGTTCGACTCGGTGTTGGCCTTTCGGCACGGGCACCGGGGGCTGTTCGGGAAGAGCGACCTGTTCTTCGTGGTTAGGATGCGGTTGACACCCGGTGCGGACTCGTCTGCACTCCAGCCACAGGTACGCATGCGTGCGTGTGTCTTTTTGTGTTTTCATCGCTAGCGGTAGCCGGCCAACGAGTGAAGAGGCGCGAGCCTCACAACGACAAGCAGGGGGACACGCTGTTAGTCCCGAGACCCATGTCCCCAGCTCCAATGTTTCACGACCAAGAGTATGCCAGCGAAAGGGACGGCCTTGAAACGGTTCTCATTCCACAAAATAGTTCGTATCTGACGTCTCTCTTTGGGGTACGACCTTACCCCGAGACAGCGGTAGTGCAAATACAATAACCAACGACACGAGAGAAATGTCAGACCCGGTAGCAACACGCGAATAATGTGGAGCATCATAGTGTGAGGATTTGAGCAATACGTGTGACGCTTGGCTGAAAAAACCCGCATCCCGAGCTCTTGTTGTAGTTGTTGGCATCCCTCAGCCGCAACACATCATTACCACCGTGGTGGCACTCCGTGTGCAAACTTTTGCTGAGGTTGTCTCGAATTTGCAATCGGCACTAATGACGCCAGGAATCGGAGATAGAGGAGTGCCAGTGGATGCCGAGAAAACTCTTCGCCAAACAGAGCGCGGAGTCGGGCACCGTGCTGCTGCAAGAACTGACCACGATCATGGAAGGCCATCTTGCAGGAGAAGCAACCAACGGCTTGAGGGTAGCAGCCGCAGCAGAAGAGGAGGGGGGAGCGGAGGGACACAAGGGCGAAGATGGACGGAAAAAGGGTGGGGGCGAAGATGGGGAGCGGCGCAGACATGCTGCCGCTTTCAGGGGGAAGAAGCGGGAGTTTTCGCGAAAATAGGGCGGACAGAGCATGCTTTACCACGGAAAGTTGTGAAGCGAATTAGAAGGCAGGGTGTGCACTTTGCTGTTGTGGACATCGTTGGAATTTTGTATTGGAGCGATTGGCGTTTCTGTCGAGAGGGGGGGGGGGGGCGTACTCATTTGTTGCTTGCCTTAGTCATTTGACCATTGACCACGCGTCCCTTTCGAGACGGAGCACCGTTCCTACCCCTACTGGAGACACCACCAACATTTGGGAGCTCTTTACGTTTCTGCCACAAACTACATAAATATTTCTTGCACATCTTATCCCCGTCCTCTAGGGCCTCTTGTGCCCACCATCTATCCCCAATTATCCCGATCGTTTTTTCGCTGTTGTCTAATTTACCAAACTTGTCCATGTCACACCCTCTCTGTCTCATTTCCTCCTCGAGATCCTCTCTTTCCTTCCTGTACAACTCACACTCCCCAACTATGTGGGGTCTACTCTCCTCCGATTTGCCACATGTACGTGTGTGTCTATCCTCCTCTTCCTCTCTCCTACGGCTGGTATACCTCTTCCTCCGTTCTGGCAAGTCCAGATCGCCTACTCGTTTCAGCTTTTTCGCGTAGTCCATGGGGCCGTCCAAGTACGTCTTCATCCCTATCCCTTCTTTCAACTTCCCGTACATCTCCAAGTGGTCTTCGCTGCGTACCTTCTTCCGAAGGGTTGCCTCCTCCCTACTTCTTAGCATCTCCTTGATTTTCGTCTTGAACCCCCCGAACCCTTCCGTGTCCAACGTCTCCTCCTCG